CTTTAAAAAAGAGAATGTGGGAATCAATGAAGGGGATTTGCAGGAAAAATATATTAACATTAATTTATTATGCCACATTAGTATCTAAATTATTACTTATTATCTCTTTACTGATTCTGTGGATTTAAGCTATCCTGAGAGAGAGGATCTCACCTTCTTTGGATTTTTTTTTATCCATAGCTGTTAAGATTGTTTAAATAATTGGTACATTTTTTGAGAAATAAAATTCTGTGTATCTATTTGGTCAATCAGTTATCTGCTATATATATATTGGACACCTTTGCTTATTGCTATTTCACTTCTTGTCCTCACCCTTCTTTAAGGTCACAGGATCCCAACGCAGCAAGGTAAAAATAAATGTGTGTGTATTTGTCTGGGTCTAATTTTATGCATTTTAGACCCAACATCTTGGATAATCTTATCTAAAGGGTCTTGAAAATGTTTTGCACCGTTTTCAGCTCCAGCCTGACTTATCTTCACAAAATCTCTCATCTGAATAAAGTCTTCTTTAAACTCCAAGTTTAATTGTTCAAAATATGTCATACTATGTTTTGTTTTTCCTTCCTAGGAAAAATGCAGTAAACTTTGAATATTGTAAATCAACTTAATTTCTTATCAGTGGTACTTATTTAACAATGATTGGTGACTTCATCCCTGGATGTGTCAGTTTATCCAATTTTCAGATACCAGACAATTTATTTATGTAGTTGAAATGTTTCTTTCATGGAGTTGAAGGAAATACAGACATATTTTTCCTTCTTCAATGTACTGCAACTTTGCCACACTTTTAGCTAAGGTACCTGATTCTGTTTCAGCCCACAAAGTCATTGCCAGTGTTTAACCCAGCATAATATCAAGGGTTTGTCAATTTTTGTATGATTTCAAATCCTACAAACTAGATTTTCATTCTTTCCAAACTTCTTCACTAAATGGAATCTAAATCTAGAATTGTAGACTAAGTGATATTGGTGAATTGATTAAAAATAGTTTTATCAACTTTGGTGAAAATGGTTTGTCATAATCTTAAGCCTTAATTATGGGGGCACTGCGTGTCTTGATTAAGGTTTCATTTTAACACAGGTGTAAATTAGGGCATTTGTTTCAGTTTTTCTCTAACAGTTTGCGGCCAGTTGGTGTGAAATTTCAGTTTTTGGCCTGTTGAGTTTCTTATATGGTCTTTGGTTTGCCATCATGTATTTTTAAAGAAAGTCTTTGAATTTGAGCTCCAGCTCAAGATTTTCTTAAAGGTTTTGAATTTCTTGTTAACTGATATCTCTTAAGAACATTATCTAGCTATGCAAAACTTGCTGAAAAATAGACCTTTTATATAAGAGGTAGTTTGGGTTTAGGGGTTTTTTTTAAGACTGGTGTTCTTATGACAGGTGCAAGCATGTGGTGTGCATGCAGCCAGGATTGATGTACACTGGGCTCACACAAACATGCTTGGTTGATTGTGGCTGGGCATGCACAACTGTCATTGTTCACTGGGCTCCAGGCAGCCTACGCATGAACATGCGCACAGGTCCAACCACATATCCTGGCATGGGATACATTTGTTTCTGTTAGATTTTATCTGGAAAAGGTATTTATGAAGCTGCTGATAGATAAAATATGCTCTGTGATAAGCTGAAATACCACCAGAGCATTATAAAAGTTTATGAAAAGGGACCTACCTAAATCATGGTGAAACAGTGGGTTTTTTGCAGCCTGCCTGGTGTGCCCAGATCTAATTTCACAGGCATATTGCTGCAGCCCTGAGCCTCGCCAATTTGTAGAGGGGCCTTTCACTGCTGATTGGTGGAGAGTGCATTCATTCAATCTACATCACTACTGCTCTGTTTGCCTGATCCCTCACCACTGATTGGCAGAGGGCACCTTCACTCAGTCTATCTAACAACTGCTTTTTTTTTTTTTGGCTGATTTTGTGGAAAATTGTGGCCAATGCCAGATATCCTAGTAATCACAAACAATGTTGTTTTTTACTCTTTCTGTGAAATCTGTGAAACTGTGATTTAGGTAGGTCCCTACCTATGCAATTATAGATGAAAACAGTGTTTAGAAGCAGTTAACATTCCTATATATGCATATCAAATCCACAAAAACAGGACAAAACTTTAAATGTACTATCAGCATATAATCTATACGCCTTCATATATGATCCCACACCTTTCACATGGTACAAAACATTTGCTCTGGTCTACATCTTCTGTCAGTACAGGATTTCCTACCCTGCTAGCAGAAGTCTGTAGGTATATCAGAAGTGACACTGCTTTACTTCTTGGCAGGAAAAAAAATCAGGATTAAAAGGGCAGATGAGAATTTCAATATTTAATGTAGTTTACGTATTTTTTCTGGGTGTTTGAAAAAAGAAAGAAAGAAAAAAGAGTAATAGCCAAATGGGTAAGGAGTTACAATTCCAGTGCTCTACATTAGTCATCACTAAACGTATGGTATTCATTTTGTTATGTGTCATCTGCAGTTAGAATTATAGGAGTCTTTTAAAGGCGTTGAATTCCAGTAATAAAAGATCAGTAGGGGTTCTCCAACTCATGTCTCATGTAATTTTCTCTGTTTGTGGCATGAATGATGTTTTTAGAGAGTTCTGTTTGGGTGTGTCAGAATATCACCCTACTCAAATAAAGCAGTTTAATCTGGGGACAGCTGGAAAGAAGAGGTTAAATGATCAAATGATTTCTTCTTTGGGTCTAAAAGATGTGCATGTCACCCAGTCTCTGGCTATGAGTAGAAAAAAATACTTGATTTCTTTAAAATTAGAAACTAATAATTAAATTCATAGCATAGGATCCACGTTGCTAGAAATCATCCAAAACAATGTCCTGTGGTAACTAAATAAAGAGAGTGACCATACACTGTGTCCTTCAGACACGTTTCTCTTAAGAATAATGAGAAGAGCAGGTTCCAGGTTCAAGTAATCTCAGATAATTGTGTTGTTTCTTGGAGAAGAATTGAAAAGTCAAACTAGTCTTTAAAGGTATTTTTTCATTGGCCTTCACCAGTCATCAGGAATGTAGAACGAGCTCTAAAATTCTCTCTCCAGAACTTCCAGGTCTTCTTTGGAAAAGACCAGTTGAAAGTCAGCTTTAGAGGATATCTTAACAGAATAAGTTATTAGGGTGTTCCTTCAGTTTTGGGGCTGTTCTTACTTAAGGGCAGGGGGACATATTACAAACTTGGATTAACACAGAATCTGAGAGGAAAAAAAGGATTCCCATTCCTAACATGGAACCACCCTCTTTTTATGGAAGCAAAGTAAAACAACAAACCAAAAACAAATTGCCCCCCGACAAATCCTAAAGAGATCCATGTTTAAATGAATAGTAGTTACGATGACATTTCCAAAGCGACCCCTGAAACTTAACCTGGATCTATTCAACCATAAAGCATGTATATTTGCATTCACAGACTGGGTGTTTATATACATAGTTACCCAGCTTGCATACACAAAGATTGTTCTCTTACATTCTTACAGATGACAGTATTGTGACTGTTTGGCCTTTAGTTAGAAAGTTAAAGATATTTAGCTCTGTATTAGAGCAGTATTACAGAACAACACTTGATTGGCTCCTCTGAAGCATGCATTACTTATTTCTTTTTTTAAGGAGCAGAATAAAGAGCAGCTTTTTGACAAACTTAACATTCAAATGATCTGCTTCAGATAGCTAGTTAATAGCAGATATGTGATGTGTATATGTATATATGTGGCCAAGAAGGCAAAATGGTATACATTTGCATGTTTATAGAGTTATGAAAAACTGAGAACTGAAAGCCAGTTTGTTTTTCAGCTGTGACACAAGGCTCCCATATACTTCCTTGAGAACTGAGCATGTACTGCTGAGACAGAACTATTCTCCTTATTGCTTATCTAGAAGGTTGAAGGATGGATTGTCCCGAAACGTGCTTGTGTGGCATGTTTAGAAATATTCTGTCAAATCTATAAATTTATTCTATGTAATACTTGTTTATTGTATCAAAATGATCCACAAATTGAATTTGTTTCTATGGCTGCACGAAATGGCACTGTTCTGTTTCACCTTGTGTTTTGATGGTTCAAGAGAACAGCATTTGACCTCAAATTTCATTTTGAGTCAAAACTGCTGTTCCACTCCATTCCATCGAAACAGAAAGGCTGTTTTGACACTGTTTAAAGCTTTGCTAGATCATGCCGGGGTCAGGAAGCAGCCCAGCTGGGCTGTTTCCTGGTGTCCCATGCTAAATTGCACCGGGGTGGGAGGCAGCCCAGCTAAGCTGCTTCCCACCCTGGCATGATCTAGCTCCAGGCACTGGGCAGCAACTCAGCTGGGATGCCTTCCACCCCCAGTGTGATTTAGCACAAGGGAGAGGAAAGCAGCCCAGCTGGGCTGCTTCCCGCCCCCAGCGCAATCTCGCACAAGGCACCAGGAAGCCCCTGGCGTAATCTAGCATGGGGTACTGGGAAGCAGCCCAGCTGGGCTGCCTCCCGCCCCTGGCACTATCTAGCAAGGGGGTTGGGAAGTCAGCCCAGCTGGACTGACTTCCCATCCCCAACCTATGGTTGAAATGTTTCAGCCAGCCTCATTTTGTTTTGAGGCTATTTTGACGGTCTTTGTTTCATTCTGATTTTGCTGTTTCTACCTCAAAATAGGTCAAGACAGTGTCAGAATGAAATGGCCAGTGAAATTTCGCACAGCCCTATTTATTTTCCTGACAAAAGCTTTACCTTTAGCAGTTAAAGGATACAAAATGCTTACTGTTTTATCCTCGTATTTCTATTTTATTCAAATCACTTTGGTTCAGTAATTTGTTCAATTGTTTCTTGCAAATTCTGGATACAGCTCAGCACAACAGTGTGTTCCTATGAGAAACAGTATCAAGGTACATGAGGCCTTTGTTCTGATAGCACAGATATGACAAATTTCAAACAATATATTTGCCTGCTTTTTATTATGCTTTGATTATCAGTGAAGTACTAAATATTTAAATCATTGACTGTTTAATTTTGGCATAAGAATGGGCAACTATTGATATTAATGGGACAGTTTATATTTCAGAGCTATGGTTTCATGCTTCCTTCATATACAAACACTCACTGCTGCATTGGTAATGAACCAGTTCAATTCTGAAGGCTTTTTTCACAATCATAATAGCTCGAAGCTATTTTTATAAAGTAAAAATTACTACTCTGGAAAACAGTTAAGAGGTTTGTTCAAAGTGAGCTGTCAGAGGGTCCAGTTAGTGTCCATAGTGCACCCCTTAGGGCTAGTATTCGCACAGAAACACTTTTGGCATCTTTAAGGCAACCCCACCCTCACCATCTGCTATACTGTACTGCCTGGGATGCAGTCTTTTT